TGAATAATTATTTAATATAAAAAATGTCTTTATTAAAGAAATGAATTAATATAAAAAGTCTTAATATAAAAATTTTACATGATAATAAGCTAACTATTTTAATCTTTTCTACTAAATTTTAGCTATATTTCTATCTGTATTTTTGTTTTTGTTTCTATTTTTCTGTCTTATTTTCTGTTTTCTATTATTTCTAATTTCCTTTATATTTATCTTATTGTATTCTAATTATAGTTAATTACAAATATTTGGCTAATTACATTATTTAACTAATTACATCATTATCTATCTAACTAATTAATTATATTATTTATCTATTCTAATTATATTTATTTAATGAATATTTATTGTCATATTATATGATTTACTTTACCTTAACTAATATATTATTTATGTAATTATTATTTTGCTATCTAATAAATCACTTTTTAATAATTAATATTTAATAAATTATTATTCGATAATTAATCCTGTAAAAGCATGATAAACTAAATTTATTATATTATTTACATCTTTTTCTATATCTTCAGATAGTTTATTTTCTTTAATAATAAAATTTAATTGATTTGATTATTTAATCCTTCTTTTATTTTATATATATCAAATAAATAGACTGAAAAAGTATTTTTAAAAAAATTGTTCTTACTTGCTGTAGTGAATATGATATTAATATATTTTATGCCTAATCATAATATATATATACAATAGTCAAATCATTTTTATTTTTATTTATATCATTATTATAATAATCATGTTTTAAATCTGTTACATCTTAATATTCTTTATATTATATACTAATTTGATTAAATTTCTCTAAATCATTTTTCTACTATTAATTTTGCTTTAAAATTTGTATAAATTTTACATAAATCACTTAAAAGTTAAAATTTAATTTGTAGAGTTAATATATACTATAGATTTAAATAACTATTTTTATTCTTATTATTCTCATAATTTTTATATTTTTTCATAAATTGGTCTATAGGATTTTTCAGTTAAAAGATAAATAAATATATCTGAATCACTTTTGAATCTTAATGGTAATAGTAAACTATATATATTGCTATATTATATTAAAAATTTGTTTTACTGTAAAAGAAACTTTAAAATCAATAAAAATCTGTGATAAAAATTTTAGTAAATATCCTTTATTATTATAAATTTATTCTCTAAATCCATTCTCTTGTAAATGTTTTTGAATAGTTAAAAAAATAGTATTTCTTAATATTATTTAATTTTAAATAAATAGTTTTACAAATAGAAAGGTTGATTAAAATTATATTTATAAATTATTTTTAATTTATTTTCTTCTTTAACTTTTTTATTTATTATTTCAAAAGATAAAAGTTAAGTCTTTAAAAATAATTTAAGCTCAATTTTTTCTAAATTAAATACTTCAAAATATTAATAAATAAAATTTTAAATCTTATTTTTCATAATATTTGTATAAATTTTTTTAAATTTTTGAAATTGGCAATGCAATTTTTCAGATTATTAAAAAAAATGGATTAAATCATCAATTGTATTTATATAAACTTATTATCTTCATATTATTCTAATTTTAAACTTAATAAATCATAGGTTGAAAATGTTATTATTTAAATAATAATTTATAATAAATATAATATGAGAAAATTTTTTAAAAATAAAAAAATGAAAAGTTTAAGTAATACAAATTATACATTAAGAATTTAAATAATTGAGATATAAAGCAAAAAAGAAGAGAAGTTTTTTTTTAATAACAAATTTATGATGATTTCATAGTTTCAATTAAAATTTCAAAAGGATAAATAAAATTAAAACAATTACTCAAGAAATCACAGGTGAAGATTTATAGTAACGTTAAAGATTATTTTCAATATTAAATATGTAAAATAAATATAAAATAAATACAAAGATAACACAAAGAAATTTCAGAGATTTTACTTCAGAGACTTCAAGTCAATATAATGAATTAATACAATATTATATAATAAGTTTTATAATAATAATTAAAGGGATTGCAATAAATATAAAGAGTCACAAATATATTATAATAGCTTTAAAGGGTTATAAAGAATAAGTTTTATTCTTAGTTAATTATACTTCTTTATTAATATAATATATATGTTTAATACTTAAAAAATTAACATTTTGTCAGTTACCTTTACCAGAAAAGATAAGACTTAATAAAAATACAAAAATAGATATTTATATATATTATATGTCAAGTGTCAATTTGTATTAGATGTAGCTGATGCATGTTAGGTATCGATTGATACTTAAAGTATGTTAGTTAATATTTGACAACTAAGGTATGTTAGTTGTCATCTGATACAAGTCAGTTATTATCTAACGCAATTTTTTTTAATTTTTTTAATTATAATTGATTCTTTTTATGTAATACAAAATAAAAAAAATTTTTTGTGAAATTTAGACAGTTCGCATTTTATTAATCAAATAAATTTTACTAAAGTATATATTTTCTTTCTTATTTTTTATTTTATAATAAACTATAGAGTCTTTAATTCCTTTTTAATATTCTTCTTTTATTCACTTTTTCTTAAGTAAATATCATATACCTATATATTGAATAATTGTTTTTTATTATTATTATATAAATAATAAATAATAACAATAATAATAAAAATAAATTGTAAAAATTTTACTTGCTTAATTAACTTCTTGTTTGTTTTAGTATTGCCAGTTACCATAACATTGGCTTTCACAATTATTTCCAATTTTTTTATAATAATACCTATTACTATTACAATTCCCTTTACAATTATAAATTGATCTTGTAGTTAAAGCTATATTTTGAAGATATATAACTTCTCTAACAGTAATTATATTTGTAGATATTGTTTTAAGTTTTGGATATTGGTTAACATCAAGAGGATCAATTTCTCCTGGTGAATAAAAAATATTAATAATTTCAAATTGAGATCTTAACTGATATTGATTATTAATTTTTTTCAGGATTTTACATGAGAGCATAAGATGGTCAGTATCAAAATGATCAATTTTTAATATAAAATTTCTTATTAAATCTTCAATTTTGTAGCTATAGCCTTTTCCTTCCTTTATTCATTTGTTTAACCATTTTCTTAGTATAATTTTTAAGGTTTTATCAAACAACTTCTTTTAATACTCTATAGTTTATAATCTTTTATTATAATGAAACTTTATTTGTAATATTAATAAAAACAGGATCTATAGAAATCAGCTGATTTGATACTTCATTTTCCTTATTTTTTATATATAGTATTTTGTATTGATTTTGCAAAACCTAAAATTTAAATTGATAATTGCAATAAAAATTTTATTGAAAGATTTTATTAAATTAATTAAATTGATAAAAATTAATAAAATAAAAACTGATAATAAAAATTATAATAAAAAATTATAATTTACAATAAAAATTACACTAAAAATTTATAAATTATAATAAAAACTAAAATAAAAATTACAATAAAAATAAAAATATAATAATAAAATAAAACTAAAGGTAATAATACTATATGAAATAATTTTGGTGTATAATAAAAATCTAAAAAAAATTTATCATTAATATATTAAATTAAATTTAAATAATAATACTAACAACATATTTACCAAGTAAATTTTCGTTAAAATCAAAATCATCATCTAAATTTTTATCAGAATTTATAAAATTTACAATTTTAATCGTTTTAGAAATATTTTTTTATTATAAATACTTCAGATAAATAATTTATCAATTATACTATAATTTTCACGAAGTTTATTACTATAAATAAGCTTATAAGGAGTTTTTTATGTGATATATAAACAGAATTATTTATGGATAAAATCACTAAGTAAAGTCCATATGATCAATTGCTTCTTTTAAAGGTTTCTCTCTACTTCCTTAATTTTTGTTGTAAAATATCATTTCCTTTTTCTATTAAATTTTGAGATTGTGGGTGATGAGGTCTTCCATTGATAATTTTTATAAATGGTTAAAGATTAACAAGTTCTTTGATTATTTTAGTATAAAATTCTTTTCTGTTGTCAGATTATAAAATAATAAGAGGAGAACTAATAAAAAAAAATAAATTAAATAAAAAGACTGCTACTTCAATAGCTTGTTTAGAAGTAAGTGGTTTTGTTTAAAAAAATCAAGTAAAATGATTATGAGCATAATAAATATATTTGTAATTACTATCAGCATTATAAGACAAATCAATTAAATCTATCTATAAAAAAATTTTAAATTAAAATACATTTATTTATAATATTAATTAATTAAATAAATTATTTTAATTACCTGCATATGAGATAGATAATTTTACGCAATTATTAGTTTATTTGCTAAAAGATGAAAAAAAGGCTTTCAGATAGCATATATAATGCAGTTATTAAATTTTTCAATAATTTCCTATCTTATAAAGCTCCAATTATGTTTAACAGACTCCTATAGTTGCTTTTGACCTGCATGATTATCAATTTTAGAATGTGTTCTATATAGTACTTTATATTTATTTTTAACTTTTAAAACAGGTTATTATTTTTTTTAATGATAATTCTATAGTCTTCTAGAGTAATTTCTTCAAAGATAAAGCGTTTTTTAGCCTATTTACATATAGTTTTTATGTTAATTTTTTTGTCAAAAGTAGAGTTTTGAATGAATTGAGTTAAATCAAGTTTAAAAATCAACTTTATTTAACTCTATTTTTTTAAGTTGAGTTGAGTCAAATTTATTTTATAAAATCTTTCAACTTGACGTTATATAAATTTTAAACTTGACTCAATTTGACTTAACTCAAGTTTAACTCAATTTAATTTTGACTTGAATTTATTTGAATTGAGTCAAGTTCAAATCAAGTTTTGAGTTAAATTTAAATTAACTTATAATATTTAAGGGTAGGGTCTTTTGTATATAATTGATAATAATTGATAACTGACTCAGTGATTGACATGTGTAATATTATAAAAATAGTAACAAATTAGTATCATCTGATCACAATTTATATTAGCCAATCATATGTTAATAAGTTTCGTATTTATTTCAAAAACTGTTGCCAAATTATAGAAGTAATAATATTTTCTGCATTTTCGCAAATTCCTACAATTTTACAACTAAGAGTCAATACTGAAGATTCAGAATGAACTTTTTGAAGATCAATAACTTGAATAATAATTTTTTATCAATTAAAGAATCCAGTAAATAAAGACACATTTTTTTTGAACGTAATTTTGTTTGAAAATGATTTGAGGGATATTCTGATACTTGCATAAGATTTTTTTAGTTATATTATTATTCTTATTTCCATAAAACACATTCACTATATTATTATGAGTTATATAATGTATGTTATTACTTTAAATTACCGCATGTTGTAATAATACTTTTACAATTCTAATAAGCCATAATGCCTCTGCTGTTACATTACAAAGATTTGGTTTATCTTTTTCTCATTCCTTACAATTTTCGCAATTGTGACATTCTGAAATCATTGGATCATCAGGCCAAAGAAAAAAATGATACGCTAGTTGTTGATGGCATTTATATACTGTTTCTGTAAATAATACCATTGTCATAACTTTTCTTATTTTTTATCCATTGTAGCATTTAGATTAGATGAATGTTATAACGCTGTAAAATTAGAAAGACTAATAAAATAGATTAGTAAATATTATATATTATAATATTATAGATATTATATTAATATTTACCTTTCTTGTCCATTACTCAAAATTGTTAATAATGTACAGATATCACTTCGTAAATAAAATAATATTGCTCTGGATTGTTGTCCAGATCGTCTAGCCCAACCAATTTCTTGTATATATCAATCATAAGACATTGGTAAAGTTGTATAAATTATTAAAGTAACATCATTTACATTTATACCCATACCAAAAGCTAAAGTTGCAAACATTATCTTGATAATTTTATTCTTCCAATTTACAGATATAATAGATTGTTCTTTACTTGTAAGTTTTCCATAATACATTTCTATAATAGCTAGGTCAAAATTTTTTTGAAGTTCTTTCATCATATCATTACATTCTATAACTGTAGCCTCATAAATAATTGCGCGTCTTTCAAGATTATCTAATAAATCAAATATAATTTGATAAAGTTTATTTTTTGTGATTAGTTTAGGTTTAATTTCTAATGTAATTTCTGGATGATGAATAATTGAAGTTCTAATAACTTTCATATTAGGTCTTTCTAAAATTGATTGTATAATTTCTACATCAACAGGCAAACATGTTGCAGTTAAAGTTAAAATAGGAACCATCAGAAAGTCATATTTTAAAGTTCCCAATTTTTTTCATGCGTCTCTATTAGAAATTTATAAATTACAATTTTTGTTTTTAATTTCTTATAAATTTGTTACTTACCAAATCCTTCATAAGAAACTATGCAATATGCTTCATTTATAACAAACTGGAAGCCTTGACTATTATAAACCTTTGTAATATAGTACGAAATTGAAAATTTTCTATATATTTTTTTGGGGTAACAAATAATATGTGACATAATCCGCTTGCAATTTTGGCAAAAATTTTTCTTGTATTAGAGGTGATTGTTCTAAAGAATCATATAACATTACCGCCAGTATTTCCATTCTTACCATTTCTCGCTTTTTAAATTTTTTAAAAAAAAATCAATAAAACAATCATATTTAATTTATTATTAAAAACAAATTATAACTTACTACTTGATCATCCATCAATGCTTTTTGAGGAGTAAATATTATAGTTAATCCCTGTAATAGTATACTTGCAACCGCATATATCAAACTCTTTCCCCTACCAGTCTTTAATATAGTTAATATGTCTTGATTGAATAAAAAAGATAATATACTCACGTTGCTTTTCACAATATCTTTCAAATCCAAAAAATTCAGTGATAATACTGTCTATTATATTATCTTTCAAAATTGATTCAGAAGTTGATTGTTCATGATATTGCATGTTTGATATATAGTTAGACAAATTATGTATTTTTAACTAACCACATAATGCATATAATCCATTGACATATTTTTTTTGAAAAGATCGACAAGCTATACATTTGAGAGATGATAATTTGAATGCAGCTACTAACAGAGCAAAAGATGGTTCAAATTTATTTTAATAAGCTCTTTTTGAATCCGCAAATTATATAGAACCAAATCCTATATAATTTAATAAAGATTTAGAATTAAAATATAACTATTATATAAATTATAATAAATAATACCTGAGAGAAATCAAAACTTTCTAATCATTTTTTTTGATTAATAATTTTTTTAACCCATTTTTTGTTACGCGTTTCAATTGTTATTAGATTACTTTTTCTTTTTTGCTCTTTTTGTTTTCAAATTTTAAATAGGTTTTTTCATCCTGTTCAGAAAAACTTGCTAAATTACCTGCTATATGAACTTTATGTTAGAGCTCTATAAAACCATTATTATTATAAATAATTAAAAGCGTATGATGAGCTTGAAAAGACTTAGGATTATCGATTTTTTTTTTGTATAATTCAATTTCAAATGATTAAATACTTCATTATAACTGATACGTATTATCATTATTAAACTTTAATTCTTTCTAAATTTTGTTATTTTTTTAAGAAATTCTAATAGTAGTATATATTGATTATCATCTGTATCAACTAAATTGGGAGTTGGTAAGTTCAAATCAGGATTATTTACAATCTAACAAACTTCTGACCAACATTTTGTATGATTTCCTCGAAAATGACAAATTACACCCTCAGTATACATCTATACTAATTCCTTGTTGGTTGGAGTTAAAATTTCTGAATTATTAGCTCTAACAGAAGCTGCATAAACACATCTTGTGTAATATTTCATAATTGGTTGTTCAAGATGTTTCCAATTACGATCTGATGCTATTAACATTAAATAAATAATTATATTAATTACATGTAATAAATAATTCTAAATTAAATACTTTAATACCTACCTATCTTTGATTGCACAATTTTTGCTTTATGTTTCAAGTCTGCAAATATTTGGTTGACTACATTTAACAAAGCCAAAGTTTTATTTGTAGAAAGGTCTCCATCAACACCAACATTTAATTTGATATTATATTTTTCTAGTATTGTTAAAATCTTTTCAATTATGGCAATTAATATAGCATGTTCTATCTGTTGTGAGCTACTATCATAATTATCCTCTTGAATAGTAACATGTTTTTTATCTTTAGTTTCATATTCACATTTTTTTTTTAACTACATGATAAGCTAGAACTGGACAATACTCATAACCTAAACCTGATATTGAATTTAAAATAAAATATTATCTTTATTATTATACAATAGCATTTTATACATTCAATGTTTTTTTTTTTGAAAAATATATATATATATATATAATAAATTATCATAAACTAACTGTTAAATATATAGCCAACCTTTCAATTCTCCATTAAAGATAATTTCTCCACTAGCCTGTGAAGCTTTGCGTATATAGCTCTATGCATAATCGAATTATACTTCTAATATGTCTTGATCATCACTTTGAAGTTTTTCACATGCTGCCACCAAAGTATCTTCAGCACTAATGTTTGCTACTTAATATAAACTTGAGAAAAATTCTTCTTGTTTATCAAAATATTGCTGATGTTCATTTTATCTTGTAATTTCTAATAATGCTAACATAGATCGCAATTCTTCTCTATTAATGCCTCCAACTAAACCAGCACCTGCTAGGCATTTAGAGAAATCATCTTCTGATCTTTCATTACAATATTCTAACTTATCAGAACATAGCATATATTTCTTAATGACGCAAATTCCCAATCTAATAGTTCTGATCTTAGTTTTGTGATTAAAGGATTTATTTCATGACAAGTGACATATAGTTGATTTAAAATTAATTCTAAAAAGATATTGATACTAACAAGAATGGTAGAAATTAATCGTCCTTTTTGAACAAGTTTTTGAATTTTTGACTCTGATTTATCATCATTTTCATCATTTTCTTTTTCACTAAAAATAGAATAAAATTTTTTTATATTAGAATATACATCAAGTTCAAGAATGATAAAAGTTTATAAATCAAAACAAACCTTAGAAAGCCAGATTTATTCTTTTTTTGAATTTTTAGTCTATAAATGGTATCTAGTAATCGACGTAGGCATTTTTTAGTTACTTTTAAATTATTCTTTATTTCACGTATTCAGTTTTGCGATTCTATTAATTTCACACCTAAAGCTTATACTATCTCATTTGATCCTTGCCATCCGTCAGCTACAATAGGTAATCCCTCTCTGATAATTCCTTTATTGTGAGTATTCTCAAAATATAAATCCTCTTGCAATTCTTTAACCTTTCATTTTGCTTGTTTAAGAATATTATCACGCTAATAATCAGCACGAAATAATGTTCTTTCTAATTAAAAAAAGCTTAAAATATGTTGTAAAATAAACCTACTAGACATCACGATCATCAATTCATATTTAATTTGCAAAAAATTAAATATTACAAATGACCATAAAGCATTTAGATTATTATTAATTCAAAATCTAATTAAAGATACTTTAGATATTTTATTGAAAAGAAAATTCCACAATGACGAAGGAAATGAAATATAAGATAATAAAAAAAAAGTTCAGGTTACTTCAAAATTTGGATTACCAGCATGCAGATTTATTGGTAATGATCATTATTCTGAATATAGTGATAAAAGGGATGGATGCTTATGGTGCTGATATCTTTTTAGAAAAAATAATTCATTGTCTTAACAAAATCTACCTCAATCTTAAATTTGATATTCTAGCTGCAGTATAGCATTATGTTATAATAAATCTAAACCGAATTATTTTAAAGATTTTCATACTTGTATTGAATAAATAATCATTTTTTCTTAATAATAACTGTTACATTTATGTTTCTAAAATTTTTTTTTTATAATAATAAAAGTTGTAAAATATATCAAATATTATAATTTTAATCTAACATATATATAAATGTGGTGAATATTTAAAACGATCATCAAAAGTAAATTGAAAAAAATTTTTGAAAATTCAAAAAATGAAAAATTATAAAATTTAATTAATAATATAATAATATTAAAATCAAAAAAAATATAAATAATAATTTAAACTTAAGTTCATAAAGTAGGTTATACAAAAATAAAAAATTTATCAAATTATTTAAGAAATCTAAAAAAAATAAATGAGACGTGAAATTCAGAAATTATGCAGGCAAATTTGCCTGCAGATTCTGACAAATTAAGGAATACTAACTAGTTTTTGAGAGAGCATTGCCATACTACGATTAATCAGGTTATATGCTGAATGACTAGATGCATACATTTAAACAAAAAGGTAATCAAGATCAAGAGCAGGGAACATTCTACAATATTGAAGAATGTTTTTTATATGACAGGAATTTTCATCTAAGCCTCCATCAACTAAAAGAATTCAAATGGGTTTGATCTGACCATTGACTTTTAGTATCTCATCAAAATGACTATTTTTTGTTAGCAAAGTCAGGTCACTCATATGAGAGATTAAACTTGTACTAACTTAGTATTGTAGATGTATGAAAATCGAAAGTTGGCTATTACAAAAAATATCATTTGTATTGTTTGGGTTAATGAGCAAGAGACTGATAGAATAAGCTTTTGCTGCATTTCAATTGAAAAATTGTAATCAAGTAATGTAACTAGTTCTCGAAAACTCTGCATAGTCTAAAAAGTTCTTCCGATTACGAGGATACCAAAAGGAATCTTGGCTTTATTATTCTGAAAATGATAACAGAATGGGTCAGAAATAAAGCTACAAATTGTTTTGCTTCTTTTACAGATGCAAGACAATAGTGTTCATCAGATTTTTTTATTTCAAAATGGAGGCAATAATAATATTAGCTGGATAGTGATAAGCCTTTGCAGTATAGAATTTAATCGAGATGGCAGAAGGTAATTACTGAGAGTGATATGAGAAAGATATTTATTATATTTTGAATTGAGTTCTTCTTGGAGATGACAAATGGTCCTAATTTTAATAACTTCTTTTTTTCTTTTTTTATCTGCAGCTCTGAACTTGATACATTTGTATATATATTCATGCAAATTGGGATATTGAATCAAAAAGGGTTAGATGACCAAGTAATTCGTATTATATTACTTCTTGATATTCTTATAGAAGCTTTACTTTTTTTTCTGCTTTTACATTGATAGCTTACTTGACGCTTTAATTTTAATCTTATTATCCTCATTATGTAAATTTCCTTAAGATTTGCTATGTGTTTCGCTAAGTTATTCTGAATTTTCAGGTCATTAGTAGAATTATAGATTTATTGAAGTTCTACAAACTTTATATTAGTTGCATTAATAATTTCTAAGACTTTTTTCTGTGCAGCTGCATTGAGAAGTAGATTAGTATTAGCTATGATTATCTCTTCTATTGGTTGTTGAAAGATCTGAGTGGCTTAAACAGACCTTGAGATTTGAGATGGGCTGAGTCGTGCATAATTAGTTTGTAAAAAACCTTGAATTAGAATTATTGTTGCCAGATATTTTTGAATTTTACTTTCAATTTCTTCTTAAGATTTATGCTGAATCTCTTTTTACGTATCAGTACATTCTGTATACTCCCCTGACATGGGTCATGGGAAAATTTTTAATAATATTAAATATATTAATTTTTTATAGATTTTTAATTCTAAATTTTTCAAAAAGTTATATATTGATCAACACCCAATTTTTTTTATTTGAAAATTATATCAATTAAATTTATTGACACTAATTAATTTCGTGTAAGATATCCTTTGGCTTTAACTACAGCTTGAACATGTCAGCCCATACTTTCAACCATATTTTGATAAATTGTAACATCTAATTTAATCCATTCCTTCTGCAACAAATCAAATAATTCTGTCTCATTTTTTGGCAAAAGGACATGCTTATGAATATAATATTTTAATTCATCCTAAATATTTTCAATAGGATTGAGATCAGGACTCTGTGCAGGCTAAAAAAGTTGATCAATATTATTTTGTGAAATCCATTGTAAAGTTGTAGTTGCTTGATGAATTAAAGCATTATCTTGTTGAAATATATAATTATTTTGATTATCCATTCCTTCTAAATAAGGTAACAAATGGTTATTTAAGATATTAAATATAATCATTTGCATTTTGTCTACCATGAACACAGACTAAAGGATCCAATCCAAATTGACTAAAACATCCCCAAACCATTATACCCTTACAACCTGATTTAAATGTTAAAACTAAACAATCAACATCATATTTTTCTTTTGGTTTCCTCAAAACATAATCACAATCATTCCCTCTAAATACTTCAAACTGTGATTCATCACTCCAAATAATAAACTTCCATTCTTTGTTTCAGTTAAATCACTCTTGTGTTTAGTCCAAACGTATTTTATGATTCCTTTTATTTATAAAAGGTTTTCTTTTACCAACCCAATCATAAAATCCCTTCTCATGAAGATATCATTGTATAGTACACGAGGAAATATTCGTAGAAGTTGATTCGATAAATTTATTGGTTAAAACATTTAAAGAAGACTTTCTATCTTTTTTAATAAATGAATAAGATGACGTGTATCCCTTTTAGTTAGTTTAGGTTGTAGTCCAGGTTGTGGAGGAGGTTTTATTGCACCGGTTTCTTTATAAACTTAATAATCTTATAGACAGTACTTTTTTCAAATTTTAGAGTTTTTATAATAATAGAAACTGGTACACTACACTTCCAAGTACTGATAATTTGATTCCTTTCTTCATCTGTTAGTTCTCGTCAATTTTCATTTATAATAAATAAAAAAGGAAGGAAAAAAAAACTCTTTATTTTAAAAAATAGATGATGTTTCCCTGAAAAAAATAAAAAAAAATTTGTATCACTTTATTTATGCCAATCAGTTTATACATAATACGCAAAAAAATTAATATTATTATTGATCATTTATAATTTTAAAAAATTCCCATGACCCATATTAGGGAAGTGTAAATAAACTTATTTTTAGATATATAGGATTTCTTATATTCACCATATAATAATATCTGAAAGTATTATAAAATCTCTAGTATTGATTTGTGAGAATTTTATAAATGTAAAACTTATTATATTTTGGTATAATTAGAATACCTATATGTTAAGGAAGTTTAGACAAGAAAATCATGGTAATAAAAAATACGATCAGATCATTATAGACATAATATAGTTATATGATCAAATTTTAACAATGATTCACATATGTACAGTTGCTAAAAAATGATATGATTTTAAACTATTTAGGTTATATTACTCAAATTTATTATTTTATTAAATCATTCTAGAAATAAAAGATAATAAACACTCAGTAATAGCAATGAAGTAAAAAAGCAAGGTAAACTATGCACTTATTTTATTAAATAATTTAACACTAAAATTTTTAGGTATAAAAAAGTCGAAGAATTTCTAACTAAGCAAATATCAGAATATATACTAGGCAAAAGATGCATTAATTAGTACTACAATGATAATTAACTTTATAATCAGTGTTCTCATGAAAAAATATACTAGATTATGTATAATAAATTCAAGATACTTAGTATGTATATAGTATAAATGCTAACTAACTTTGTTTATACTGTATTAATAAAATAAAATAACCTTAAAGGTTGATTTCATATCACTTATATATATTTTTACATATCTTTTCAGTATGATCACTATTAATCCTAATCACGTGCAATACTTGTGATGATGATTGGCCAAAATTTATAATTATGTAATATCATAATCTCACTAAGGGAAGGGTCTGATTTTATATTAATCCATAATTACATCATATATGTAAGTTCCCTAACATGTTGTGTTATTTTAACTACAAGATCTGCTCATAGGATATTAAACCTTTAAAAAAGTTTATAATATTAATTATTATTGAAAAAATTTTACATATTAATATACCATTTAAATTTAAAGTTTATAATTACATCTACAAATACCACTTCTATCTTATCACATTTTTTAACATGATAATTATTGTGACACTTTCTTTATTAGTTAGTGGATACTCAAATGAAGTCAGTGAGTGAATTATTATTTTAACAGTCATATTTTTTGTAAGATATATTTCAGTATTTTTTATATCAAATGAAGATATACTACTTAGCTAAATATATTATA